GAGGTCGGGGTATACAAGCGAGGTTAACGTTATGACCAAGGATGAGCATCACAGATGCGGAATTGAGATGAACCGTAGGTAAATGCATTGTACTCAAGTATCATTTTGGGTCATGAAAACAAGCTTTTATTTTGCAATAGATTTTCAACAGGATACATTCCCGGCTAATATAAATTGTGCCACCTAAACTTAAAGTTTTAATTCATAAAACACTTGTAATTCAGGACAGTTTATCTTACAGAAAGGAGCAATCAATTAAAAAGAACAAACACGAACTTAGCATCCTTTGGTCCCAATCCTTTGGTTTATAGAAAATTTCAATAAATGAGGATTTATTGGTCTCGCGGATTCAACATATTATATCCACCACGTTACGAAACTAGGAAATAAGCGCAATTACAAATAAAAAAATGACATTCTAAATAGAAACCTGATCTACATTTTTACGATAATGTCCTTTCATTTCCGCCGTACAAACCGTAATTCTAATAATATAAAAAGGCGTTTCACAATTATAAAATTAAATTTACGAAAATCACATACTGATTAAAATTGATCGCGATTACATCCTTAAACTTACTCAGCATTTTGATAACGTGTGCACGTAATTATCTTTTTGTTTTTCAGATTTAGTTTCACAAGATTGTTAGTACGGCAAATGAGAACGCAACAATCGAGCTTAATAAAAGCATCATCCACTGACATTCAAACGGGGTCCTTTAATGCTTTTATATCATACTTAAATATCAGTACAATAAAATCACATGAGGTTTGAGCAATAGAAAGAAGGGAATATGATATTTTGATAGTCCCTCTCCAAAATAAGACTGCCTAAGACGGAAAATAGTAAATAAACATGTTAATTTACGACAGTGGCGTGGCGAGAATGATCGGTCATCGATATCGCCCCATTTGAAGCTATGGTAAAGAATCGATGATCAGGGTGTTCGCTGCGATCACCTTGATAATCGATCATTTTTCATAGATTTGAGTGACGTATCAATCGATATATCGCAAAGCACGCCACGCCACTGATTTACGATCGTGTTTCGAGTTTAGACGCGAATGATTTTGAATGAGCAGTGATTAACTCTGATCGATGATTTGCCGCTGATCGCTAACAAATGCCTCGCTCACCGTTTAAATTGCGTTGACCATCGAACAGCGATTTAACTCGCGTTTGACCTTTTCTGATCTGTAAGTCCATCCTCACCCGAGGACTCTTTGAAGCGGTCACATATCATGTTGCTCGGAACTACACAGTCTTCACTATAAGTGATAAAAATGTTCGTTTCACTGATGAATGGTCGTAACTTCAGTTCCAGATTATCCTGACGGTCCATTCGACTCAATGCTTACAAGTCTCAGGTGAAAATGGAGTTAAACCCTTTTGTCAGCTGATCGACAAAATATGCCCCTCGTGGATGAATTCTACCCGTGATATTTTGCACGTAATTGCATGGTGTTTGTGTGCAAATTATCTGAACTGTTTTGGGATTTTTTCCCATGAAAGACGTCAACGGTCAAAGTCAAGAAACAGTAATTCAGTATTACAATTGAAGGCGGCTTGGAGGGCAAGGCGCATAAGTGCCGTTTTTGGGGGGGAAAAAAAAAAAAAAAAAAAAAAAAAAAAAAAACGAGATGTTAATGATTTCAAGTACATACAACTTGGTCTTAATGCGTATTCTGTAAAAATATTCGATCCCAAATTCTAATATATAAGCATCAAAAAGTCAGTTTGAACTTTCTTTCCGCCTTGAGGATCCATGTGATTTCGAAACTTCAAACATGTCATTGTATTTCTCGAAACAGTAAAAACTGCACTTATATGCGCCTACGCCTTGTAATTCAAGCCCCTCAATTAGCTAATAAAATTCGAGATATATTTAACGTCTCCACCAGATTTAGTTTAGATTTAGTTGAGTGCAGTACGATTTGTTGAATCAAATTACATTAGTTTAGGTTGGGTCAGGTTAGTTCAGGCTGAGCACGGTTAGCTTGTGTATGTAAATCAGGGTTATGCGGCTGGTCAAATCAGGTTAGGTCAGGATAGAGTAGTTTTAGTCAGAGTAGGCTATGTTTCGTTAGAGAAAAATTATACTACGTTAGAATGACCAATACATAAATGAAATGTTACAGTGTGGGAAAATATGCCCCAAATTTCAATAATAGTTCATCTAAAGTGAGCCTAAAATATGTGCTCCTTTCTGGAAAATGTAGTCCCTTTCAGATTGCGATTCCAACCGTAGACATTTTCGAATACTTGATTCGTCAATACTGCCTAAATGAATAAGGACAGGGGAGCATAACAGAGCGGAGAAGATGCAGCGACCAAGATATTAAAATCGCCTGACGAAGAACCACTGACGTGCGCGGAGCTTCCATTGCAGTTACGCTTCTCTTCATAATTGCATTTGCTCAGATTTGCAAGGCCGCCGGCAGAATCGTGCCACCGTTGAGGATTTAACAACCCGTGTGCTCGTTTTGACACACATCATTTTCCCTCAGATCATCAGCCACAGCCCGCGCCGCCAGGCAGAAACCGCGTATCCCAACTCGAAATCCTGCGAGCATACGCGGTTTTGGATCAGCGCGTTCCAAACGGCCGCGCAGTTGCGCGTGCTACGGCGGAAGATCTTCGGCGCGTTCGCGATCCGATCACACTCACGCATGCTCGGCAGTGTTGCCAAATCGGATAGATATTTTGCATGTTGATCTACTGCGACATTCAACGAGAACACTTTCAATTTTGCACGAATAAACTATAGATAAAGTCTCTAGAACCTCAACTCGATTCGGTTGGTCGTGGATAGAAAATTGTCCATTTTTTCTCCAGCAATTTTTTTAATTGATCATCCGTACATGAAAGAAAATTGGACTAAATTTTGAATACCGAATAAAAATGATTACTATTTCTGGTTTGTTCTAAACACATGTGTTCTACTGATTTCCTTATTCAAAGAGGTGCTTTCATGAACGAGCCAGAATAGGTAGTTTCTCACTGCAAAATGTAGTCCAATTGTTCTCGGCAATTTTAAAATTTTTCAATGAGTTGGGCCGCTGGGGTCTCTATAAGAAAAACTGTTCCCAATTTGTAAGATAAAGTATACACCGATAAAAAAAAAAAAAAATAATAATGACGAGACGTTGTAAATTGAAGTTTACGGTTTCATAGTTCCATTGCCAATTTTGACCGTGACCAAAAAGACAACTGCTGAAAATTTGCTCCCTCATAAAATATTTATATAATATTCTCTTGTCTGATTTCAAAATCTTTCCGTAAAATTGACAATTTTTCGATTTTTTTCATGAATTTTATTCTAACCGTTTAGATAATCTATAGAAACTTCGTCAAATCACCGTTTCCTCGCAAGAATATAGCACAATTTTTCAACTGACAACTATTTCTCCACACAGGAATAGGTGATTTTGTCTAAATGGCGTAATTGAAGGCGTTTATTTCAGCCCGCAGCTTCATCCCTTAACCCGAGTTACGTCATACTTGGCTTGGAAATTCACATGCAAATTGTGCCTTTTTTCCTCAGTACATCGATATTAAGAATAAGATTACGAAAACACGCATTGGAATTGCGTTGCTACGCAATTTCTAACCTAACTTTGTTTTGAGTTTTTTTTTTTTTGTTTTTTTTTGGGGGGGGGGGGGNGGGGGGGGTATCGTTTTGATGGAAATTTGAAAAATCGAACAAAATTCCAAATCAATACACTCCCCTAAAAAGTAAAAAGCTTGCATTGTCACAAGCTGACACACATGCCATTTCTAGTTTTACCGTTGATGTTTGGTCCTTCTCAATTTGTTAACGTATAACCTTACCTTGGAGATTTCATCAAAATCGGGCAATTATCCTTTTTCTTTAGGAGACAAGCAATCGAAAAAGGGAGAGAGGCCTCTGAGGGTCAACGTCGGTCTGGAACTGCGAAGTTGCGTACGTTTTACGGCGTGAAACAGCTTTGAATTTGTTATTATAATAATATAGGTTAAATTAGTACGCAAGACTGGTGACTTTTTTGAGTGATCGACACGCGATACCATAATACCTTAGATCAAGATCCTATCGAAGCTGACCTATTTCTAAAAGAAGTTGTTCCTCGATTCCTAGTACATCTGAATTCGTAATATTCTCAAACTGTGAGATTTAAAGCCAGTGTATATTGAATAAAAGTTACGACAATCCTTACAGGGAACTTTTGCAAAAATAAAGGTACACATGTGAGTAAAAATCTAAAATATAATGTCGGATCAGATATAATAGACTTCTCTATCATGCCTCCGAAGATTAGAGATAGCACATCGAAAAAAGTATAATAGCGCTAACTTTATTCTTGTTTGATTTTGGTGCTAGAGACACACGTAATATAAATTTCATTATCCAGAGATATGATTGGACGTTTGTGACTGGTGCAAAACTGAATACAGTTGGTATATATACTTCTCTTTTGTGACGTTCTTAATTAATGTCGGTGTCTAAAAATATTGGAGAACCGAGAAGCTCAGAAATTTAAAAAAATACTTCCCATTTGGACTAAAAATAAATTAACCAGGACGTTTGTATGGCAGCATCCGTCAAAGCAAAGCAAAATACATAGGAGACTTAAACGCACGGTTAGAAAAGTAAACGGGCTAATCAGCGAGTTGTTTTATACAATCAAAGCGCATGTTTGAAGATATTTTGTCGGAATCTAAAGTATATGACTTGGCTAACCGTTCAAGAGATGGGCACAAAATAATCATTTACTCAATATTATCAGAGCTCCGGTACTTGAGAAATATACTAAAATGGACAATAGAACATACCCCTATGGTCACTTGGAAATGATTATTTTGAGATAACATTGTCTTGTTACATTATTTTTTTTTAATTAACCGAGGCATAAAAATTACTGTATAAACCCTATTTACGATAACAAATGTTTCAGGTAACCTTGTGATTTCGATAGATACTTTCATATTTTCCTTACACTTTCTATTTTTCTGTTCACAGGTTCAAAATGCAGATCACCATGAGTCAAAGCCTATTATTTCTAGTCATTATTGTTGTTGCCACAGTTAGTATATTGGATGCTGTTCCTGTTAGTCAGAGCCAAATTAGTTCAGTTTCAGAATCTCATCAAAACACACTTAGTGACGCACTTAGTGATCAAGTAAGTTGGTATTTAATAATCTACGTAACCAAGACAATTCCGTTCAAAAAATTTAAAATATTTTAAGGAAGAGAATTGAATCGTATTTTCTTGAAAAATATCGACTAAGTTATGATTTAATAGAACGATTACGCTTAATCGTTGGCGAAAGGCCTGGAATACTAGCTCAAACCATCATCATTGAACAGAAAAGAGAGAGGGATGTTTATTCAAACCACAGTCTGAGCTTGAACTAGTATAATTTCATACATTCAGAAAAAATTATCACACACATCAACTCGAAGGTAGTGATGAAGGGTTATTATTTTCGTATATTGCAAATAAATGCCCAATTTGTGTACTTATACAGATTTAACTATTGACTGACCGTGGTTACGTGATGTAAATGATTGGTTATAAAAGGACGTTCACAAGTAACGTCCAATGAAAAACGCTGGATATCCTCTTCTTTGCGTTTCCTAATTGACTTCGGATAAAAAAATTGTCACCTCGCATCGATTTCCCATTCGAATATTCGATTAATCGGAGCGTGACTTCGATTTTAGTGACAGGTGGGGGTAAATGTGAGCGGGCGAAAAGAGGCATATCTTTGACCTCTATCGCTTGGTATACCTGCTCCACTTATTGCCAACCTTCCAATAGTAGGGGTTCGAGTTAAGCATGTATTTTTTCGGATATTATGTACAAAATTGGTTTCAAAACTTAGTGAAAATGGTTTACTTAGTGATTCTAGTAAAGTCCAAGGGAATATAGCAAAAAAAACGCATGACCTGCTGTTTTAATCATTTCAATTCAACTCGGTCATTCTTCTTCTTCTTCTTCTTCTTCTTCTTCTTCTTCTTCTTCTTCTTCTTCTTCTTTTCTATCACGAGAGCTCTATAAATCCTGAAACGGCTGAGTTAATCTTTCAGTGGCCATACTTTCCATATTGGAGTTATTCGCTTGAACGTATTTCTGCCAAACGGAACTATGTGCAATATGACGTGAGCCCTGTTATGCGTGTATTCCTGTATTCCTATGGGTCTCAGGGCTCATGTCTTAATGCACATAGTTCCGTCTGGCAGAAATACGTCCACTTTATCTATTTAGTCGGCACATTTGTGTCACTCTCTCCAAGTCAATGAAGTTTTGAGCGCATTTGCAAATGTAACAGTGAACAACTTGTTACACGCGGGATTTCAAAAGAATGTTGCGTGTAAAAATTTTTATGGAAGAGTTGAGAGCTGTGCCCGCGATAAATCGTACACCTCTCGGAGCGGCGCACAGTGAATCGAGTCAATAGGAGAGGTGGGACAAAATTTGGAAACTTTAAGCGCCTATAAGTCCGTTTATACATAAATTTGAGGTTTTAAAAGTGGTTCCATTGGTTTTCTCGTGAACTTTTCTACAAGAGGCACCCCTTAAAATTCAAAATTTGACGAATTAAACATCAAAATTTGCAGTTTTAGTTAAATATGCTGTCCTGTCCGACCTCTATGATTAACTGAATCTACTGTGCGGCGCCGCTTGTAAAACACGGCTGATGTAGATGAGTGGACCAAGATAAGGGATCTTTTAAAATTGCGCGCGCACGTACGCCGCAACTTTAAGGACGTGCGATTTCGGTAGCGACTCAGGGAGCGCAATCCGACCTACCTCACAGTGATGCCGATTAATCGATGGTTTTTGCCGCGGTTTTGCTTCGATTCGAAGTGGGGTTTCCGGCGGATCGACAACGCCCTGTTTTCACAGACAAGAACGCATGCGCGCGCCGTTGGAGCTCTTATTGACTTTAAAACGCGAATCGAGGTGAAGCAATGAAAGTGGCGAGGGATCTGCTGGAATCACGCTGAGATACTCATCTCTCGACTTCCTGCCGGATCTCGGCCGCTTTGTTGCCAACCCCCGCCAAACTTATCGGGGTTTCCAGAAATCTGCACCAAGTGAATAATTCTTGTAGTCCGTTGCGCAAAACAAATTTTAGGGAACGTTTATAAATTACGTAACGCGCTTTTTCAGCATTTTTCACCCGCTTTTGTGAGGTTTCTATCCACCAACACATGAAAACAAAATGGCGTACTTGTCGACTTCCCCTCCCCCTAGAGCGTTACGTACTTTATGAACGGCCCCTAATGTTATGTGCCCCCCCTCCCCTTCCCCGGGAAACAAGAACTTCCTGCAATGAGAACATTTGATCGAATCTAAATTTAACTAATATAAAACTTAATTTAAACTGTAGGCTGGCCATCATTTATATTGAGGTAATCACCAGTGGGCTGAGTATTGAAATTGATAAACAAAGCGATAGACAAAGAAGACATAAAGAGTATGGAGCGATCCCATTGGTTAATTTTGGTGGTTCTTATAGACTAAAGGAGAAAATGATGGACTAACTATCGGGTCTCTCGTGGATTGCCTTAGTTAGTCTGTTACCTACCTCCTTTGTCCATTACATCCACCCACATCCATCAGTAGGATCCCTCCGTACCCCTTCCTTTTATCTTCTCTGTCTAAAGCTTTGTCCATAAATTTCAATAATCGGCCCGCTGTAAGGTGTTAACTTAATATTTTTCTCTATAAAAACCCAGGCGCCTGCGGGCTCATCATTGTTTTTGGTGGACAAATAGGACAAAGGATAACGGAGGGATCCTATTGATCGAAACGGGTGGTTCTCATAGACTAAGGGTTAAAATCATGGACTTATTATACACGGAAAAAAAAGATTTCCTGAATTTAAGTAAACGCGTCTACTTGGATTTTTTACTTATTTCAAAACGGGTTTGACTTGGAAGAAACTAACGGTTTTCTTAATGTAAGACAACATGATTCGCTTGAAACAAGCGAATCGTGTTTTCTTAAGTAAAATAAACGTTGTTTTAAAATAAGCCAACTTTTGCTTGAATGAAGAAACCAGTTTCTTTAAAATTAGTAAACGGGGTGAATGCCTTCTGAGTCCGGCCGTTGCCTCTTTTTAAGTCAACAGCATGCTTGGTAGAAGAAAATACGTTGTGTCGAAAGAAGAAACCGGTTTCCTCAAAATTAGTAAACGGGGCTAACTCCTTTC